GGTCCTCTCAAGTACTTCCTTGGGCTTGAAATTGCTCGGTCTACAGAGGGTATTTCAGTTTGTCAACGCAAATATGCTCTGGATCTTCTTGATGAGACAGGTTTGTTGGCTCGCTGAGACCTCTTCTATCCCTATGGAACCTAATCTCAAGCTGTCTAAGGATTCTGGTGGTGATCTGGTTGATGCAGAGTTGTATCGTAGGCTTATTGGCAGGTTGATGTATCTGACTATTACTCGTCCAGATCTCACTTTTGCTGTCAACAGGTTAAGCCAGTTCTCATCAGCATCTCGTACAGCCCATATGCAGACAGTTTACAAGGTTTTACACTATGTGAAAGGGACAGTTGGGCAGGGTCTTTTTTATTCTGCTACATCTGATCTTCAGCTCAAGGCTTTTGCTGATTCTGACTGGGCTTCTTGTCCCGACACACGGCGCTCTGTAACTGGCTTCTGTTCATTGGTTCCTCTCTGGTTTCTTGGCGCTCTAAGAAAGAGCATACTGTCTCCAGGTCTTCTGCAGAGGCAGAATATCGAAGCCTTGCATCTGCTGTAAGTGAAATGGTTTGGCTCACAAATTTCTTGCAGGAACTTGGCATTCAAATGAGTTCTTCTGCTCCTCCCTTTTGTGATAACACTGCTGCCAGACATCTTGCTATCCTGTTTTCAGCGTACTAAACATATAGAGATCGACTGTGTGTTAGAAGTTGGTTGCAGGTCTATTCAAGCTTCTCTCCGAACTGATCTACAAATTGCAGATGTTCTCACAAAGGCATTACATCCAACTCCTTTCCACAACTTGGTAAGTAAGATGGGTTTGATCTCTATTTGATCCCGGGGGAATTTTGTGATGTAATGTGATGAATTGTATAGTTGCATCTGTGATTGTGATGAATTGTATAGTTGAGTCTGTGAACCGGTGTTGTATAAACCGGTGTAGGTACTTTTCTCTCCTTTGGTTAAAGCTCCGGAGCCGTTCCTAGTAGTAGCTCAATACCCTGAGTAGCTGCGAGAGTCTTCCTCCTCAGGTCGGAATAGCCTGGCCTAGATTGTGTGTGTATTAGGTAGTTCTCTCTCTTTTATAAGAAAGAACTATTATACAACATCCCCAGGCTTGAGTTTTCTTCTCAACTCTTTCTATCCAATAGTTTACTGCTGCTTTCTTTGATTTACCCCACAAGGAAGAATCAGGCTTATCCTATTATCTTTATGCCAACTGTATTTAAATCTATCATCACATTATGATTACACCACACCATTCGAAAGACGAACATCAAGATCACATTTCAGGGACTACAAGATTTTGAGATTGGCAGCATTAAGTAGAAAGCATTATTGTAGAAGGGCCCCCCATCCAATAGATCAGGGGTCTTGCCCTATAACCTAGTGAATAGGGAAGAACAGATCAAATATGTCTAGTTCAAATGTCTTTCCTTTGCGGCGGAGTGAACTAAGCACCAATCGGAATGCCTAGCGTGCTTGCCCCTCTTCCTTCCGCTTGCCACCTTGATCTAGCCCTCTCGCTTGACTGACACATGGAACTCTAAGCTTCAAGTGACACATCCATCTCAGTCAAACATCTCTACCACTTTATGCATCTAATTCATTCCAGGGTTGGGTCATTATAACCACTTGATCGACAGAATGGGTGGGAAGATGGAGTGAAGTTAGTTTTTCGATAGCTTCCATCGTTCCAGGGTTCGAAGGTCTGGATCCAAAGTCAGATAAGAATGTTTTGCTAATGCGGCCAAGGACAAAAAGAATGGAAAATGATTTCTGTACTAAAGATCTCAATTCAATAGGGGATTCATTGCCGAGATACAAATTGGGTTATTCCGCTTGTTGAAAAACAAGACCGAAAAAGAAGCTACCTCCTTCCGTGCGCCCCTCACTTCCTATCTTCAGATGGACAGTGAACCAAGACATGAAGAAGTGCAACAGAACGAACTTATCCTTATATAAGATGAATTTTCTCTCTCTTCTACCTATGATCAGTAGATTGAAGACCAACAACATCTCGAGAAAGAAGGAAAAGAAGTAGAATCAATCAACGGCACCTAGATCATGAAACGGGCATCTCTTTCATCTGCCCTAGGATCCCATCTCTCTTCGATTATTCAAGTGATTGATAGTTACAGGACAGGGACATCTCACTCCGCCTTGATCTTTATTTTTCTACGATACGACCAAAAGATCTCCTTAAAAATATCGAAGAGCGTATAGATCACATTTTAAGTCGAAGCAGAGGGAAGAGGGCATAGAGTCACCGACTAAAGCAAGCCAGGAAAGGTAATTGCTTACAGACAGACCAGATTTTTGAATAGCAGCTTACTCTCAAACACCGTATTCCGCCAAAACCATTTACTACGCAAACAAGACCGGCAACTGGTTGAGCTGATAGGACCACAGCTGAGATTTACTCAAGAGCGTCTGTGGCTAAAAGACTAGCAGCATATTCTTTCTTCAATTGCGACAGGAGCTCATTCTTTCGCAGCTTATTCGTCGTTTGGGCAAATGGATGTGGGATGGAGCTTGAACTAAGGGACCCGGGGCGTAGCCTTGATTCAAAGTGTCTAGGTACCAAGAGTAAAGGAAGGAGGGCTAACTAATATAATAGGGGTAGGGGGGCGCTAACGAGCCAGAAAGGGCCCCTTTATTAGTAAGGTTGCTTGCTTGTCACACAGGTCGTCTTTGGCTCGTCTCCTTCCGCGATACGCACCTGGTAGTATCCCGCCCGGCCGTAGATCCAACTTCGAGAAGTATCTCGCGCGGGCGAAGAAGTCTGCAATAAAAGTGGATACTTGTTTTTGATAGTTAGGTTACCTTGTTGAGCGCCCGATAATCAATGCACAAGGCTCCCGCTTTTTCTGGAAAGGGGCTCCCCAACCTTTTCCCAGCAGCAATCAATATAGGGAAAAACTGCCTTGGAGGCTGGAATCAAAATAGGCCTCCATGAGTTCCTGAAATTTTTTCCTGAGTTCAACCAATCCCCTTAACTAATAGATGCTAGTTGGGGGCCATCCGCTTAACCCAGAGCCCCAGTCTAAATAGTTGGGGGTTTGGCTCCAGGCTCCAACTCGATCTTGTGGTAGACTGCCCTACTAGGGCGCACTTGGCAACTAATTCGTGGGGCATGATATCCCAAAATTCCTCAAGTACTTGCTGCACTTCCTGAGAAAGAAGTAGTCTTGGTATTGGATCCGCTCTTCTGAGAGCATGAACATCAATTAGATTCAATTCCTCTTCTTTATTCTTAAGAGAAACCCCCCCCCCGAACCATTCTTAAGACCACCAAGCTCTCTCGAATGAATTCTACTCTTTCTGCTTTCGAGATACAAGAGTAGGCAAATTGATTCCCCACTAAGGTGTAAAACTTTGTGACTCGATCGTCCTGAAAACGGATGCGACGGGAAGAAGTGGCATTTGTAAGTGTTGCTGACTTAACATTTAGGTTTCGGCATAACAAAGCTTGCACTGTCTTTTCGCACTTAGGCGCACAGCGTGCCATTGGTAATGATTCTACTACGGTGCCACAAATTCGCAAGCTGATCCTAAGTAATCGTTGTTGTTCATTGGATTCCGGAGGAACTACTTCGTTAGGATTGGGGAATTGCTGCGATTCTTCCTGAATAGCCTGGATTCTCCCGTCGAGAGTCACTTTGAAAGTCGTACCTAAACTCTTACGACTGAATATGATAAAGCCTATAAAACAAAGAGCTACTATCATTTCTTCATTATAGATTGAGATCTTCTTCGAACTTAATGCACAAATAGATAGAATAGCAGCAAATAACATCTTTCTAGCATCCATATTCGTCGAACTCAATCTCATTTAGAAAGCTTATCCCCATTTATTTTTCAGCAACTGAACGGGAAGTGGTTTAGGAAAGGACTTTTGAATCGGATGCGCTCGCCCAGCGAGAAAGGCCCTGACCCTGCCGACCAAGAAAAAAAGAGAACGAAAGGAGAAGAGAACTTCGTATTTTCCTTATTTGAGAAGAGGTACAAAGTGACTCGACTGAAAGAAGAGGTCCGAAGGAACAAAGGAGCTCGACTGTAAGGTCCACCAGGTCTCGACGAGCGACTGAAAGGAGAGGAATGGTTAACCTTGAATGCTATTAATAAATTCTACAGCAATAGTACCTCGGACTCGGAAAGTTATAACGAAAATGGCTAACCCAATAGCGGATTCCGCAGCTGCCACCGTTGGAACCAATGAAGCAAATACTTGACCCATCATATCATCCGAAGAAACGGAAAATACCAAAAAGTTCGAATTCACAGCTAATAACATTGATTCAATTGGCATTGACATAATAGGAATATTTCGTCTATTAAGGAGGATTCCCCGAATACCTAAAATAGAAATAATCATAGAAAATGTGAAATATTTGATAAGATCCATTTCGGGAACGTGGAATCTAAGATAAATTCAAATGTTATTAGATGACAAGCTCGACCGAACACCTGAAGTCCTTGATATTTAGGTTAGGGAGACACGCGCGCATTCCTGACAACAGGCACGGGCGATAATCCAGGCAAGCTTCCCCGCAAGCCTCACAACAGACACGTCCCAGCTGTCCGACCGTAGGCCCCGCTGCTGCGGCAAGGCGCGGCAGCCCTCTGACCCTGCGAAAAAGAGCTTCCCATCGGTTCAGGCACCATTTTTTTTGAATAGGTGGGACTTCGGTGATAGGTTGTTTTTGATCCCATGGGGGATCTAGCGATTTTCCCCGTTCCCCCCAAGAGGAGATTGGTTAGGAACAGGATGGGCAACTTCAGCCGGTGCTGGCGCCTGCGTAAGCGGCTCTTGAGCCGCTAAAGAGAACCAATAGACACGACAGCTGGGCCAGCACCAGAAGTGGATTTACTAAATCCCCCTTATCTATTTCTGGGTAAATAAGTTGGTGACTAACAACAAAGACAAAAAAACTTGCTACCAAGAAGACGATGGATAAGAGAAAAATTAGGGTATTTTCTCCTTCCGGTTTGACTTGAGAAAAAAAAAGGAATAATTTACACCGACTAAGATCAAAGAAACTAGCAGACTAATCACTAAAAAGGCCTTTGGTTCAAATTGTGACATCTATCTTAACTTACTCAATTATCTCGTGAACTATCTGCTTCAAAAAGAGAGTTGGTTGAATGAGACTGAAACCCTCTTTCTTCGAGGAGGGCACCACTTCGACTAATGCGGGCGCGGTTCCCTCGTCGTGAAATAAGTAATGAAAGGGAAGACCCGCCCCCGGTCAACTTTATTGTTGCCTGTATAGCTTTTTAGAACAGAGATCTAGCAACGCATTCTAGGCACAGATCATTGGTATTGGATGTATCGTTAGGTTGTGCCGAGTCAAATCTGCTCCGTTTTTTTTCCGTTGCAGAAAAGAGATCCCTTCCCTCCGCTTTCTAAAATGAGGAATATTAAGTCCGTGGGGCTGCAGGTACTATGGATCCTCTGACTCCCAATCGGGTTGCCTTCCCTGGTCTCGCCGGTCTTACCTGTAGGTCATGATGTGCTTTGAGATGGCCGTCTCCTGTCCCCCTGCCGGTGGGGAATCTGCTCCCGGGTTGTCGCTCTGCTGCGTCTGGCCCGTCCTCTAGGCACCTTTGGAAGGCAGGGAGTGTGACAAGACAACATACACGCTTCCCTTTACCCCATAGGGCCTTCTTTCTCATCAGTTGCAGGGTTTGGTGGCCCGAAAGAAACTTGGCTTCGCCAAAAGGCCTCATCTCTGGAAGCCCGGCTCGCAAGGCGTCCCTCTCGCTGTAGGGTTCCAAAACTCGCCTCGCTCTTGGGACATGCTATCTTTCCCCTCTTGATTCTCAAGTAAAGGGTGAGTCCCATGCGTCAGTTTGTGGATCGCGGTCTCACGCACTAATCCCTACAGGCGGGTGCCCGTAGTAGGCCGGCCGCCCTACCTAAACCAATCATCATATCGGTCCCTAAGCCCCATTGCTGGAAAGGCTCGGCTTCAAAACCGTACGTGGGGCTTCCGCCTCATACGGCTCCTCTAAGGATGGAGGTAGGCCCAACCCAGGCTTGCGTGGTTAAGGTTGTTGTACACCTGCCAATAAGAAAACATTCAGTTTTCGGGGGGTCGGTGCTCGCGTGTCTGCAGGAGGACACGGAGCCACGAATTACGTAAAGTAAGGCGGGACTCATTCTCCTGTTGCCTTACTAATTCCTGATCAAGCCCCTGCCTCCATATGTTGAGTTGAGCATCTCGTACCATATCCAAGGCGCGATTGCGCGCCACTTTTCCCTCCAGCTTGTGCACCTCCCAATCGATGCGGGCGGCTAGTTCCCGCCCACGGTAGGGAGACCTCTCGTTCTCCAGGTTACGTTGCATTTCCTGGATCCGTTGCAGATCTGAATGAAAGAGGTGAGGTCAACTCATCCAATAGAGGTGCCTCAGATGGCTAAATGGATTATATGAATGCTTATTCCGCCGGTCGGAATGCCCGGACTGAGGAAGATGTGTACGAGGAGCAAAAACGAGATTCCTAGCCTTCCCTCCCTTTGAAGTGCATTTATCAGATCAGCTCCCAGAGTAACTAGAAAGAGGGTGAAAGGCCCAACTTCTTCATTCATGGCCTTTTTTGTTTCTTTGGATTGATCTCCCTTTCGTATTCATTCGACCTGAGGCAAAAGAGAAGTCATATAAAAAAGAAAGGTTCTTTCATGCAATGCATAACGGGTGGGCCTCCTATGGATTCCTCTAACTCAATGAATGAAGGGAGGAGTATGAGGAAGGCCGGCTTTCTGGATGAAAATGAAAACAAAAAGGAAAAGGGTCAAACCATATCTTACTTAATAATCTGACTGAATGACGAAGAGCTCTTTATGTGGTCTCACTTTACCACCATCTGAAATGCGCGAAACTTCGATTTGTGGAAGCTAGTCCATGAAGATTCTCCCTTTTCCTACGTGCACTTCCCCTCTTTTGGTAAGCATCCAGTATCTCAGCAAATGAACATTTCTCTAAGCTTATCCTATAGCTTATACGTCGTTTGAAAGCTGCTTCAAGGATCCAACGAATAGCTAAGGTTTGTTGACGATCCCTGGCTACAATCCCAGGGACATCATAAATAGTACCCGCTACTCCTACTTTTGCTACTTCGCATATGGGCTTTATATTCTCTACGGCGTCAACCATAAGTTTGATTACATCGCGTTCAGTTCGAGCTGGGCGATGAAAAGTTTGATAAACAATAGCACGAACTCTCGTTCTTTTACCTTCTTTCATGCGAAAATTGACCAACTTCTTGATCAATAGTTTTTGCTCACCATCCAAGCCCCCCATATAGCTGAAAATTTCCGAGCAATTGGAAGCCGCTTTCGATGACGAGGCCGATAAATTTATATTACGCAATCGTTACTGTCCATCTTTATCAGCCAACTCCCCAGTTTCTATCTTTCCTTTTAGAGTTTACCACTCTTCATAGCTTCTTGAACTTTCTTTAGGGTCTTGCTCCCTGAGTTCCAGAGTCTACACTCTCGCGTCATATGGCTACGCCCCGGAATCATTTTATACCTCTTCTTTTAGTCGAGTTTGTTTCACAACCTCTCCCAACAAGTGGTCGAGTTCCTTTGTACCTTTCCTTTGACCAAGGGGTCCTCGAACCAACCTGTCCTCCCTCAATCTCCAAGAATTACCCTCCCACGCTAAAAAAAAAGTAGCATTTCCTGGACGTAGGTAGAGTCAAACTCTTTTAAATATATAGACTGGATTCCATTTAGATATAAGTCATCATATATATATATGAGTTCAGACATATCTGAATCGTCCACGAGGACGAAATTTATATATATATATATATATATATATATATATATATATATATATAGGGCTAATTGTTTTTTTCAGCTCAGGGTTCTTAATTTTTTTGAGCCGGCCCTGCTTTTCTTGCCATTTCTATTGATGATATAGGAAGATACTCCACCTGAATATAATACACACACATAACTATAACCTTTTGTTACATTCCACGAACTCCAAATTATGAATTACAAGAAACTACTATTAATTCATCATCAATATTGTTTGTTAAAATATCTCAACTTACTCAAAAGCTATAACACTAGTTACCTCCATGACTATGCCTCTGACGGTCTCGGCATGAGCAGGAACAACTTTTTTTTTTTTTTGCTAAAGTGCAAATATCATATAGATAAAAAGTTGGTTTTACAACCTATACATTGGTTTCTCGGCAAAAAATAAACAAGAAATCAATACATTTGGGATTCAAAGCAGTCTCACTGCAGCCAGCGAGTCATTAGGTTCTTGAACCTTTGCTTGTGTCTTCTAGCAGTGATTGTATTCTTTATCTCCCTATCAATGTCCAAGAAGATCAAAGAAGGCAGGATGTAGATTTGATTATGAAGGAAGTTGTTCCTCTGTTTCCATATGTTGTAGATTACACATTGCACCACAAGCTTACGGAGAGTTGGCGGAGACCTGTGATGCTTGATCCTAGTCCAAATCAATAGCTCCGACCACGTGGTAAATTCAACCCGAGGCAAGTGAAGTCTGGTGATAACAGCATTCCATAAGAAAAGCGCAAAATCACAAGTAATTAACAAGTGGTCTCTGTCCTCATGATGGGAAGAGCAAAGGCTACAGATAGTGTCAATGTTCATTCCCCAACGAGCCAATCTTGATTTAGTTGGTAGACGATCGAGATTAGCGACCCACATATTGAATGCATGTCTTGGTGTGGCTCCCTTGAACCAAACAGAGTTAAACCAGCTAACCGGATCTGCTCTAGGTCTCAGCACAGACCAAGTTTTAGAAGAGGAAAAGCCAACGCAGTTCTTATCCTCTACCACCCAGTCAAAAGAGTCCAACTCCAGAGAATGAGAAGGAAGACTGATGGTCGTAAGATAAACATGGAGGGACAGAGCAGATTCAGATCTCGGAGCAGCCAAGATCCATCTTTCATGGTCGCATGCTTCAGCGACAGTAGCATTAAGAGCAACCCTTAAGCTCCTAGGTCCATCTGGTCCAATAAACTTAATAAGTGGCCCGAGACTAGTCCAATTATCGAACCAGAAACTTGCCTTTCTTCCATTACCAACCCTGCACCTGATGAAATTTTCTGCCAACCTTCTCAGTTTTAGAATACATTTCCAATTCCAAGAGTCATTTGCCTTCTCAGTCTGATTCCAGAAACTTGTAATGGAGCTGCAGTTGTGAAACCTTTGCCAAGCAACCCACAACGATCCACTCTCAGAGAAAAGCAGCCATATCATCCTTAGGCAAAGAGTTCTGTTCCAGGAAGCAAATCTCCTCAGCCCTAACCCTCCTTCTTCCTTTGGTAGACACACTTGAGCCCAAGAAACCTTCGTCATACCATGTGAATCAATACTACCAGACCATAAGAACCTAGAGCAGAGTGACTCTATTTTCCTGATGCAACCAAGAGGAAGAATAAAAGCAGAGATCCAGAAATTAACAAGACCAGAGATGACTGATGAAATTAATTGGATTCTTCCCGCAAAAGATAAAGACTTTACAGACCAGGCGTTGAATCTTGCTGTAATTTTCTCAATTAACGGCGCATACTCAGAGATTTTAAGCTTCCTGCTCATGAGAGGAAGTCCCAGGTATCTAATAGGTAACGACCCTAGAGTGAATCCGTAGCTTGCCAAAGCAGTGGATTCACTTAGGCTCAGACCTGCGTGAAACAATTGAGTTTTTCTTCTATTCATATGCAGCCCTGACCATCCTACAAAATCCTCAAGGGTTTCATAGATACCATGCAAAGAAGAACTATCTCCGCCAAAGAAAATCATCACATCGTCCGCGAACATAAGGTGAGAAATCTCCAATTCAGAGGTTTTGGGATGGTAATTGATGTAGCCAGATTCATACCTCGAATGTAGAAGACCAGAAAACACTTCCATTGCAAGAAGAAATAGATAGGGAGACAGAGAATCACCTTGTCGCAGCCCCTTAGTACTTCTAAAAAATCCACCAGTTTGGCCATTTATTGAGACAGAGAAGCTAGCAGTAGAAATACACTCAAAAATCCAACCAATAAACCTGCCAGAGAAATATATTGAGCTATATAGCTCTAAGGGCAACAATGATGAAGTCCCATCTCATTGAATCAAAGGCTTTCCTCAAATCCACTTTCAACATTGCACTAGGCCTGACATCCTTTCTGTTATAACTTTGAATGATCTCAGTTGCAAGAAGAACATTCTCCAGTAACAAACGACCCGGTAAGAAGGCAGATTGAGCATGATTAACACAAGAAGGGAGAACAGTCTTTAGGCGCCCATCAAGAAGCTTAGAGATGACTTTGTAGACCGTGTTAAGACACGAGATAGGTCTAAAATCCATCATCTTAGAAGCATTAGGGATTTTTGGGATTAAGACCAGATTGGTAGCATTCCACTGTTTTAATAACTTCCCAGACTTAAAGAATTCCTGCACTGCCTCAGTAACCTCAGATCCAATGACAGACCAAGAAGAGCAGAAAAATTATGGAGTATAACCATCAGGCCCGCTTGCTTTGTTTCTTGGAAGAGAGAAAAAAGCTTCTCTGATTTCAACAGAGGAGAAGTGAGAGTTCAGATTGGCTCTCTGTTCATCATTGTATCTGAACCTCAATAGCAAAGAGATGTCTTCCTGAATGAAGGAGGAAGGATCTTGATCGCCACCAAAGTTGCATTTGAAGTACTCCACGTAAAGATTCTGGATACCACTTTGAGTATCGATTCTATCTCCATTATTGTCCAGCAGGTAGTGAATATGGTTCCCAGACTGTCTAGCTGAAGCAATTTCGTGGAAACACGAAGTATTTAAATCACCTTCTCTGAGCCAAGTGACTCTGGATCTTTGGCAAAAGAAGCTTTCCTCAGCATTGGAAAGAATTAACCATTTCCTGTGCAGCTCAACCTTAATATCCACATTAGTAGGGCTAGGAGACAGAAGCAGATTTTTCTGGGCAAGGATCAACTTCTCATGGGCCTCCTGTGTTCGTTTCTCAATATCAGAGTAGTTCATGTTGCTGAACTCCCAAATAATAGATTTTAGCTCCTTTAATTTCCGGGAAAGTCTATACATTGCAGAACCATGGACATTGAAGGAGAACCAGTGAAAACATACGAGAGGAAGGAACTCTTCACTTTTCAACAAGAAATTATAGAATCTGAAAGGAGATTTCTTTCTTGGAGAGGCAGTGTCTAGGCTAACTTCACAACGCGCGTGATCAGAGAAGTCAGGCTCAGAAAACTGACCTAAAGAAGAAGGGAAAAGAGAAGTCCACCAATCATTTACAAGAATGCGGTCGAGCTTTTTAGCAACAAGAGCATTTCTTCTTTTATTCCACCAAGTAAATGTATTTCCTCTGAAATTGAGATCTTCTAAACCAGCTTGAACCAGAGTATCTCTGAAAATTCTCGTTGACATGTCAACAATGGACCCATTTACAGTTGAGTGCTCTGACGGGTGAAGAACTTGATTAAAATCTCCCAACACTATCCAAGCTTTACCCCTGACCCGGCTATCAGCATACAAAGTAACCAGTTCACCCCATAGGGACTGGCGGGAAGAAGCTTCATTTGCAGCATAGATGGAAGAAACAACGATAGTCTCACTGCAATCTGGCAATTTTACTTCACAACTGATCATCTGAAGAGATTTACCAAGAACAACTGCTTTGACACTCAGGTGCCACAAAACCCAAATCTTACCAATATCTAAAAAAGTAATTATTGTCAAAAGACCAACCCGGAAGCAGAGAGTTGAGAAACTTCTGCTGCTTAGGCTGTTTGACATGATTCTCCACGAGACTACCAAAAAGAGGCCGATGGTTCTTAAACCATTTTTTTAAACCGCAGCGGTGTGAGGAAGAATTTAATCCGCGAATATTCTAACAAAAAATGTCTGTACACATAAAGATACTACTTGGATTTGGGGCCTTTGCCCCTCGCACTTCGTTGTTGCCTCTGAGACAACACTTCTGTGAACTGCACTTCATCCTCAAGATCGGTATCATCATCAATAGATTGCTCTGAAGGGACATCAGAGGAGTCTGGTTCTTCCTCTGACGATGACTTCCCAGCTGCAAGTTGAATTGCCTTACCTTTCCCTTTAGCTTCCAATGCTAATCCGCGACCCTTAGGAGCAGGCACAGCCTGAGGATGACTTGAACTAGAACTTGGCTTACTACCACTCTGGGAGGCAGGAGGAATCTGAGAGGCCTTGGGATCAATAGAAAGAGGCTTGCTCCTAGACCCTACCACAACCCACTCTCCTTCTTTAGCAACAGGCTTAGGAGTTTTAGAGCGCCTTCTCCTGTGCTGGACCTTTTCAGTTTGCACCTTATTTATGGGACAAGCCTCCGGAGTATGAGATTTGGAATTGCAGCCTTTGCACTGAATAGGGGCAGCGGGACATCTTTTGAGACTGTGGCCTACTTCCTTACAGTGACTACACACTGGCGGCATCCATAGACTAGAAACTTTGATCCTGCAAATATCTCCAGAAGCAAACTTCACATTAACAGCTTCGGGAAGCGGTTGCCGCGGATCAATAATTGTGAAGACCTTAGCCACTTCCAAATTTCGCTTGCTAGCCGTATCCGGATGGAGGAATTTCGGGTCTCCCACAGGGCTTGCTATTTGTTCCAACCCATCGTCATTGAAGAATTGGAAAGGAACCTTTCGCAGCTCAAGCCAAACTGGAGTAGTGGTGAGCTCAGGCTTCGTTGGAACAACTCTTGGTTCCCACTTGGCCACAAACATAGTTTGGCCTTCGATCTTCCAGAGCCGTTGATTCAGGACCCGAGTTCTTGTTTGGACATTAGGAATGCGAAACAAGAAAGCGTTACCCTCCCATTTTGATACAGAAATATCTTTGAAGTGCTTGCTCCAAATACCATACACAATGGTGTGGATAGTACCTTGCGCCGGAGGATCCGAATAAAACTGCCCTAGGATAAAAGAATCCCAAGCCTTCCGATGCTTCTCTATAATCGCATCAGGAATCTCAACACACAATTCACCCGATGGAAGAGTGAAAGCTGTTCCTTTCTTGCGGAGCTTCTTCGAGGTGCCTTTGAACATATCACACCAACTGTCTTCCTCTGAAGAAGCTTTAATTTCGAGTACACCTGGGTTCACCACAATAACCTCGACGGGTGCGGTTTGCGCAGGAATTTTGGAGAGATTCGAGTCCAAGGACGGAACCGCTGCAATAGGGGCTGAGGTAGACGAATGCACGGCGGGAGCCACCACTACCTCAGAAACTTGACCTAAAAGGTCTAGATCTGACATCGAAATCAGTGCCGAGGAAGGAGAATCAACCGGATTAGTCTGCGGGGCAGAAACTAGATCGATTGAAACCGGAGGAGGGACAACGTAGACTTGGATCGGAGAGCTCTGCATTGAGCCTGAGCCGGCTGGAACGGAGGCTGAAGGGGAGGAAGAGTCTTTGGTCGCCGGTGACTTTCCTCCAGGAGAACCTTTTTGAGACGATTTTGCTTCCCCATGAGGAGGGGAGGGCCTGAGAGATCGGAAGAAAGGAGGAGCCGGCGCCGTTGAAGACGCCGAAGATGAGCTGAGAACGAAACCACCTTATCGCCCTGTTGAGGAGAGAGAAACGCGTTTTTTTTTTTTTTTACCAACTCTCACTTGAAAATCACCAAGTTGATACTGAAACCCTTCAAAGTAAAACGAGAGCTTGCATTTGTAAGACTCAAGGTTCTCCATGATCATTTGAATCGACGAATCTGCATCTACGACGATCCTCTGCGATCTGACGACGAAGTAGTACTTACTTGACTCCTTTGGAAGCGAAACCCCTAGAAATTCACGCGGGAACTCCGCTTGATTTGCCTGGTCTCGCAACATGGGTTTGTAATAGTTGAGAGTGGCTTTCCATTTTCCTTCTTTGACCCCATTGAGGCTCTCTATGCTTTGTGTAACTTTGTTTAGAATTTGACTACTTAGTGTTGATCCTTGATTTGGTTGCCGCCAATGCAAAAGCCTAGAAAACCCCCAAAGAAGATAGAAAACAAGGTTTACGTAACAATTTCTATATAAAAGAACAATTACAAGAATGCTTCTTCAATTTCTATAATCATCAAACGTACCATTTGACGGGCATGGCTTGATGAGCTACAAAAAGTCACACGGAGAACAAAATTAAACAAAAATTGTCTCTGTTAATCCTTATCTAATAATTCACAAGTCACTTCTCTGTTAACTGCAACTATCTCCATTTGATACCTGGCTAAGTCCCAAAATTTCACCTTTCACTTTTTTAAAAATAAATAAACTTTGCTTTTAAATAGAAAAAAAAAAGAATTTACGATAGAATTTTTTTGACAAAAAAATAAATATCAACTGCTCCTTTCCACGATCTTAAGATTCTTTTCCCTTTCTCTCCCCATTTACGATCTCAGTGGCAACCGTATAAACCATTCTGTAAAAACAGATGTAATAACTTCTTCTTCTTCTTCTCTCTTTTCTTATAACCTTAGATCCTCCATTCTTTCTTCTAAATAGTCTAACAAAGAATCGAACGGATGACGTAAACAATGAAAGTTGAGACTTTTGTGATGCCTAATGTGATGGACGATGTTAACTTCCTACAACGTACTACGTTCGGTCCACCTAATCGCTGGTATGCATATCATTAAATCTTTGGCTTTGCTTTCCAGATTTGTTGCGTTTTACTTGGTCTATCTTCTTACACTTTCTATGCACACCAGCTGCTCGACAAAATGACCACACGAGTTTGCAAAAATCATATAGAAACAAAATGGATGCAGCTTGAATCAATTGTATGAACGTGGAATTCTGCCAACAATTTTGTATAGAGAAACAACAAAACAGCAAATGTTTTGGGGCTTTCAATTCAAAAGAAGAAGAAGAAAAAAATAATTTGAGAGATGGGTGGCATGACATGGCATCTTCTTCCACGGTGTAGTGTGCAAAAGAATTTAAATGTGAAACCATCTTATATGTTCAAGTTTCAAAAGCGTTTTGATACGAAGGTAATTCATTTTTCCATCATTACTATTGTTAGGTTTGGAGAAGAAAAATAGTTCCGTATAGCTTTTCTTCCTCATCTATTCTTTCTCTTTTTTACTGTATATTTGCCTGTTTCAAAATACAATGAAAATTTCCTTAATTTTTACACCTATATATCACGATTTGGGTGAAGTTGAGGTCTTGAGGAGGATTTCTATTGAGAGTTACAGAGCAATTTGTAATATATTCAATCAATATATTAAGATAAAATAAAACTAAATAAATTGTATTTTGTGACATTCTTCATTGGTATAATGGTTGCAAATTTTTTTTTTTTAAAAAACAAAATATACTATTGGTATTGTTGTTTTCCCGTGCAAAGCACGGGCTGGTACTAGTTTACAATAATACAAAAAGTGACACAAATAGTCATGAAAGAAACGTTTGGCAACTACATGAAAGAAACGTCATCACATAGTCACACATGCAGAATTTAAAAATGTTTTGTTAGCTACACGAAGTATTGTCATCCATACGGACATCCCCGAACTAACATAAGTCATGTTGCAAACACCATAACCATCCATTTCCAGTGCTTCAATTGTCGGAATCCAGCGTTGACCGATGTTGACCAGCGTGACCAAAAATATTTTTTTTCGTTTTTATTTACTTTTGATAAACAATTAAAAATAATAAATTATTACATAGTTTTTATTCAAATATAAAAATATACCAAAATAAATATACCACAAAAAATTATACAAAAAAATTTTGGTATATGTATTTGTAATATAACTAAATATACCACAAAATAGACCACAATTTGTTTTTGTGCTATATTTTGTTATACAATTTCGGTAATATAACAAAATATACATTTTACATTTGGAAATCATTTTTTATGGTATTCAACATCGAACAATCGAGAAGAAAAATATTATCTTATGGTAAAAAGTGATTGCCAAAAGGAAAAGGCATATTTTGTTATATTACCGAAATTTTACTAATAAAATATACTACAAAATAGTATAAAAAATAAACCAAAAAGAAAAGGTATATTTTATTATATTACCAAAATTTTAGAACAAAATATAGCACACAAAACATTTGTGGTTTATTTTGTTATATTAGTTTTTTAGTAAACTTTCGGTAATATAATAAAATATATATTTTTCTTTTGGCAATCATTTTTTACCATAAGATAATATTATTCTTCTCGGTTGTCCGATGTTGAATACCACAAAAAATGATTTCCAAATGAAAAATGTGTATTTTGTTATATTACCAAAATATTATAACAAAATATAGCACAAAACAAATTGTGGTCTATTTGTGGTATATTTAGTTATATTACAAATATATCTACCAAAATTTTGTTGTATATTTTTTTGTGGTATATTTTGTTATATTATTTTTTGTATATTTATTTTTGGTATATTTTTTATATTTTAAGTAAAATTCTGTAATAATTTATTATTTTTCATTGTTTATCAAAAATAACTTATGGATGGATATCAAAAAATATCAAAAAATATTTTTTGTTAACGCATGATTCCGGCTACTAGAGCACTGGAAATGGATGGTTATGGTTTTTACAACATAACTTATGTTGATTTGGGAATATGTGATTGCAATATTTTGTGTAGTTAATAAGGTATTTAAAGTATGCATGTATGACCATGTAATTACGTCTCACTGCCAAAGATTTTTTCAAATATAAATGGTCTTTATTATACTCTCTCCGTATTAGAAAGATTGATTTTCTAAGGTTTTATTCTTGTATCAAAAAGATTGATTTTCTGTAAATTTTTTATCAATTAATGTTAATAAATTGTGAATTTCAAGAATCATTAATTGAGAATTTTAAACTTTAATGAATTACTATTGGTTAATAGCTATGAGAAAAAGTTTGATATGAATAAATAGTGCATTTAAAACTAAACATTAAATGTTTTCCTTAATTCGTGTGAAAAGTCTACAAAATCAATCTTTTAGATACAGATGGAGTACTAGATATGGACCCGTGCGTTGCACGGATTACCGGTCGAAATTGTCATTTTTAATTTTTATTTATGTAAGTTTAACTAAAATTATATAAAAATATGTTTTAATTTTAGAAAATGTAGTATTTTATTTATTTTTTAAATATAGATTAATTATGCATAATTTACAATATAAAATACTATTTGTAGTTTTGTTTATTATATGTTACAGTATAATATTTAATAAATGTTCATATGTGTATTATTGAATTTTAATAAATTATCTACATCCATCAGAAGAGTGTATAACACTTTCTAATTTCAATGTGGGCAAGATGAAAAATAATTGTGACAATATGAGATAGTCTATATGCACATCATGTAACTTTACTTGATAATATGAGAAATCCTCAAAACAAAAAGATAAATTCATAAGGAATTAGGGAATATACAATAAATAACCTAAGACTAAAAAAGAATTAAGAAAAACTATTAACTAAACAATGTCTATTTGCTATATGGTTTTTGTCAATTTTTGGCCCATATTACTCATGAGTTATTCGTTGTCTCTTTTTTCTTTCCTGTCGCCGGCGATAAGTCTCAAATCTCTCCTTTTCTCTCATTAGATTTCTCTTATTTTTGCTCGATCTCCTTTTCTTTTTCTTCTCTCCCTCTCGTTGGATTTTTTCACCACCATATTTTTTTCTTTTCCATATCACTATTTTTCTCATTCGTCGAGCATCACCACCGAGTCTCACTACTCTGACCCACCAGGCCACCAACACAACTGAATCTCACAACTATCACAATCATCATCACCATCATTACGAAATCTCGCTAATTCTAACCCACCACCTTCATCAACATTTACCACCACCACCACCAAACTTGAACCACCGTCATCAACATCAAGACCACCATTACCGCATCTTCCCCTTTTTCCCCCAACTGCTCTTATTTCTACACCTTCTTTATCTCCTGCGACATCGGGTCGAATTTCTTCGACAACAACTCTATTTTAAGTCCATCGCCATTCATAATTCTTAATTTGTCTTCATTGCCATATATTTTTAATTTGTCTATCTATCTATTTGTTTATCTATAAAGGTGGGTATTTATAATCCTTTTTCTTTTAAGATTAATAATTGATTATAAATTTTTTTTAATTATCATATTATACAATAAGATTGTATAATTTCATAAAAAAATTAATTTTAAGGAAAAAGTTTTTTTTTTCTTCTAGAATTAGTAGCTTTATATTAGAATTAGAAAATAATTTTTAAATTTCTATTTTTATTTAATAAGATATATATAGTTTCCTTATAATTATCTTCTGTACTTTTTTTAAATTGTTTTTTATAAGATACTAGATATGGACCCGTGCGTTGCACGGGTTGCCGGTCGAGATTATTATTCTTAATATTTTTATTTTATTTTTGTAAGCTTAACTAAAATTCTCTAAACATATATATTTTAGCAAATGCAGCATAATTAATTCTAAATATAGATTTATTAGCATAATGCACAATATAAAACATTATTTATAGTTATGTTATAATAATTAATAAATTATCTAATATAAATATTAGCCTATTTATAAAATTATATAATTTTTTGCTTATTATAAGTTATGAAATCATAAATGTTCATATATTATATTATTGAAATTTAATAAGTTATTTACATCCATCGGAAGAGTGTGTTACATCTTATAATTTCAATGTGGGCATGATGAAAACAAAACTATAATAATAAGAAAAGATAAAATTATATAGTTACGTAAACATACGAACGATATATGTATAATATGTAAACATGTAGTCTGAGTTACGTAAATATAGATGTTTTTTTAGAAAAGTTTAACGTCATAATAAAATTGTGACAATAAAAGAAGAGAAATATGAGACTGTCTATATCCATATCATGTAACTTAATTGATAATATGAAATATCCTCAATTTGCTACATAGTTTTTCTCATTTTAGGCCCACATTACAAATTTCTTCGTTTTTTCTTCTTTCTAATTCTCAAATCTCTATGTATCTCTCTTATTAGATTTTTCTTATTTTTGTTTGAACTCCTCTTTCTTTCCCTTTCTCTCTTTCTCATCGGATTTCTTCACCACCATATCTTTATTTTTTTTTCCCTATCTCAATTTCTCGCATTCGTCGGGCATCACTACCGAGTCTCACTACTCTGACCCACCACCACAACTAAATCTCACTACTATCACAATCACCACCACCATCAATACCGAATCTCGCTAATTCCGACTCACGACATTAATTAATTTTTACCGCCGCCACCACCACCAAGCTTGAACTCCCTTCATCAACACCAACACCACTGCTACCACCTCTTATCCTCTTTCCTCAACTTCTCTTATTACTCCACCTTTTTAATCTCCTCCGACATTAGACCAAGCCCCTCCGACAATAACTCTACTCTGTGTCTATCGCCGTTCATAATTATTAATTTGCCTCAATTACCATATATTCATTAGATTTGAATATCACACTAGATTTGAACCCGCGGTGTACCGCGGGGTTATAATTATTTTTTAAAAAATCTAAATATAATTATTTTTGTTTATTAATAGAGAGTATACTATAATATTTCGACCTATTTTATAAATGTACCATCCATATGTCTATATTAATAGTTTTGAGTATATTAATTGTGTTTTAGGTTTAAATGGTATATCTATATATACACTTAAACGACATTTGGCTTTCTTCTTCTTCTTGCCTCAGTTTAGGAGAAAGATTTTTCTTACGGTACACCGCGGAGCTATTATTTTTTAAAAAAAAATTTCCTTCCTTAAACTTCCAAATCTAGATTACCCCGCGGTACACCGCGGGTCGATTTTTTTATAACTAAAAAATTATTTTGCAAAATTTTAAGTTGTATTTGTTTTGTTAATATTGTTTATTTTGTTTAGTGTTTCTGATTTTATAATTAAATTTTGATTTTTAATTCTAGGATTTCATCCATAGTATATTGTTTAATATTAATATTGATCTAAACCCGTTGCACCATATAATCCCGTCCCGTAAAATTAAACATCATTTGTTATTTTTTTGAATAATATTTTTATCCACTACGGATCGCAGGTTCATGCGGATAAGCCCGTAGAGAATTGCGGGTTTGCGGGTCGATCCGCCAAAAGAGAAGCTATCTTTTGAAACCATTTGTTTTGTTTAGAGTTTTAAGAAAATATCCCTAAAAAATAATTTTCATTACATATAAAAAAAAAAGTAGAAGAAATTGTAGTATCAACATTCCCGATTTTTACATCACTCGTTACAATTATTTTATTTTTTTTGCAGATAAAAATCAGAAGTTAACTAAGTCGAGATTTTTAAAAAGATTGATTAGAGATTTTTGGTAAATTGTTGAGAACATATTTGATTTCAAAATCTTTACTTAAATAAAATAAATCTAAATAATTAATGCTAATGGCATGTCATTGTAAATACTTCTCAACTTCAGGATTTATTTGCTAATTGTGATCCAAAAATGTATATATAGATGCTATTTTTAGAAAAACATCGTGATTCGAAGTATTTTTTTTAATTGATATGAAATAATATCGTTAAGAAATTAGTTTGCTTAATGAAAAAATATGAGACAATCTATTTGTTTATATAAAGGTGACTATTTACTATCTTTTTCTTATAGGATTAATAATAACTCATTGCATAATTTTCTTAAATTTTTTTCTAATTTTAAATTTTTTTCTTGTACAGTTAGTAACTTATAAATAAAACGTTTAGCATAATTTTATAATATCAATTTTTATGGAAATATACATATAAATTCTTTATATGTATGTATAGTTTGCTAGATGGCAAAAACTCTTATGGAAATATATGTACAATTTCTTTATAATTAGCTTTTTACAATTTAAAACTGTTTAAATTTATAATTATTCTTTTACTTTTTTTAAAAAAAGGAAATTTTTATTTGACACATGTCAAAATCTCAGTTCGAAAAATTTGACACATGTCACGATCTCGTGAGTTATTAACTTTGAAAACTATACTTTATATAATAAGATATATGTATACGTATGATTTCCTTATAAGTTTTTTTTCTAAACAAATATTATTTTGGATTTTACACGTTGATAAATTTGCCACGTATCACGATCCTATGAGTTACTAACTTTGAAAACCATTATATAAGATGGTTTTACATAATGGAAAACCGAAAAATCAGAAAACCAAATAAACCAAACCGGAGCAAAAAAAAACCATAACCTCAAAAATGGCATTAGGAGCCAAATCTCTAAGCCAATAAAAGCATGCCACGTAATTACGAATCGATCGATGCAATAACTTTTGTAACGGCTACAAACTTCTGATTTTCATTTTTGAATTCGTCTCCTCCTTCTCTTTTACAAATTCCCCTTTCTTGCTATTGAAAAATCTCGAAACCCTAGAATTCTTCTGTAAAAATCTCTGTTTCTTCTTCTTCTTCCTCGCTAATCCTAAATTCTCTTCCTGAAACCAAATCTTGTTTCAAGAGTAAACCATGCTGAGCGAGAGAATTGATTCAGGTGAAGCAGAAACGAGAACGAGAACAAATCTCTCGCAAGAAGTCGAAGAATATATCATAGATACAATTGATCACTCGTTAGGTCTTCCGATCTCTATGGAAGCTCTTCAGAAGAAGCTTTATACGGCTGAAGAATCTCAACGACGTCTTCGCGAACAGTATCTGGCTTTGGTTTCGCGATTAAAGGAGAAAGATCATGTAATAGATCGTGTTAGGGTAAGTATTTCGTTCTGGGTTTCATTAATTTTTCTGGGATCTGTGAAATTGACTGAATCTGAATCTTGTTTTTGATCAATTTTAGTCTGAAGCGAGTATGAATGCGCAAGCGTTGAAGAAGTTTGTTGATGAGAATCAGAAATTGGCTAGTGAGTGTGGGAATTTGTTGAGTCAGTGTAAGAAATTGGAGAAAGAGTGTTTGCTTTATCATCAAGATCGTGATGCGTTGATGGAGTTTGGGAATGAATCTGATGAGAGAGCTAGAGAAGCAGAAGCTAGGGTTCGTGAATTGGAGGATGAAATTGGAAGAATGTCTGAGGAAATGCAGATTTTTAAGCGTCAAATTGGAGATGGTGAAGTAAGAGTTTTCTTCATATTAACCCTAAATTCTCTTTAATTTGCTATTGGGGTTAGTTGGGTTTAGAGTTGCATTGCCCTTAAGTAAATTAGTTTGCTTCTGCACTTACAGATTCATAATTTGGCTAGCTTGTTCTTGATGAAATGGTTACTTTAATTGGCCATTGGGGTTAGTTGGATTTAGAAGTAAAGTATCTTGATTTTGGCACTTGGGGATCAATCATTTGGTTTTCTTTATTAAGTTGAATATGCAATTTCTCTATGTGTGCATGAAGCTTGTCTTCTCATTGATTCATAATTCTATCCATGTTGTGTTGCATTGCTAAAAGTCTTGAAATTGTTGATGCCCTTAGGTCTCTGGCTTATTACTGAATATAATTTTTCCTTCCATATTGCTTTGCTTGTTGAAGGTAATAAAACTTTGGATTTTCTGATTTGGATAGCAAATGGATTTGTCATATAAATTTTTCATAGCTTGAGGTGGATAAAGGCAGTTAATAAGTGTTGGATTGTCTATGAGGCTTGAGAGGTTGCTTGTTCCTTCTAAGATTTATCTTTCTGTATCCTTGAGGTGCAGCATATTTATCAAACAAATGAAGATTTGTTAGTGTCAACATTAGTCAGAAGATGTATCTATTAGTTGCTGCTTGTCATCATTTCAACTGGAAATAGAGTTTCTTTGAGTTCTGACAGAAGTCTGTATTTCATTTCTCTCAAAAGGTTGACAACTGCACTACACCGTTAGAAGAAGATTTGCTTGATTCAGTTTTGGGATCTCTCATAAGCAAAGATGAAACTATAATGGGACGTCTCTTCTTGGAGGCAAACATCCAAGACCAATCGTGCCAAGCCTTGTTGAGCAAGTGGGATCATTTAAAGCCTTCAATGCAAAAGGTTCTTTCTTTAGTTTCAAGAGCAAAGAAATTTGAAAAGGAAAAAGAATGCATCATCATGAATCTCGCTAAAGCCGAGCAAGAGGTAAATAATAAACGATCAACACTCTCTTACTCTGAAATGATTCCACTTAAACCCACAAACTTTTTACAGGTGGAACTTGTGAGCACCCTAAACCGAAAGCTGGATAAAGAAAATCGTAAGTTGCTAAGGCAACAACAACAAAGTCCTCTTTGTTCCGCAGACAGGAACCGAAACAGCGCATCTGCGAAGGTAAAAGCAACACAAAAAGAAAGAAGTAAACATTGTGAATTAAAAAGCAGCTATATGGACTCTCTTTGATTCTAACTTGAGAGTTTTTTTAATGTTACAGTCAAACAAGAGAAAGAGTCCGAAGACGTTGAGCAGCCCGGTCGAGAAGAGGCTTGAATTTAGCAGTCCAGAAATCAGCAGGAAGCCTCTATCACCTGTGTGGAATAACTCACCAGATTCTAAAATGAACAAGATTTGATGATGACAATAATCAAACCACTACCTGTATTATCATATGTGAAAACCAGATTTGTTGCTTCTCTGAAGCTACTAACAACATGTATTGCTATGAAAATTTGGCCACAAAATCATGTTTCTAACTGGTAATAATTAGCCTCTACAAGAACACTCTGAAACTGACGTAGCTTCCTAAACGCTGCCGTTTATTGTACATCTACGAATTAACATTGCTAATAAAACGGTGTCGTTTTAAAGTTACCTTTAAGTACAGTGAAACTGGCATGGCTCACGAAACGTTATCGTTTATTAAGTATCAATTCTAAACGACGTCGCTCTTCTACAGAAACATTGTGAGAGTAATAAACGCTGTCGTTTTAGTTTCTATGAAACGACGTCGTTACTTAATTCCAACACGAAATAAGTGTAATTGCGTAGCTTTTTCGATTTCTCTTATCCAAAACTCTCTCACTCATGGCTCTTCTTCGTCTTCCTGGCATTTCCCTCCAAATTCTAGGTCACAAATCAAACCACAAGAACCCTAATCCCAAATTCTCACTTACCAATCACTCTCTCTCTTTCTCTACTTCTTCACTATGTCTTCTCAATCATTACTCGACGTTTCCAGATTCAATTCCAGCAAAATCCAGAAACTTCACCACTTACTTCTCCACCACAACACAAGATCCAGTCCTCGAATCTTCTTCTTCTTCAGCTACTGAAGTAGTAGAAGAAGAGATTTCTAAAACCAGATTGATTGCTCAGAACGTTCCTTGGACCTCTACACCTGAAGATATAAGGTCATTGTTCGAGAAATACGGCAATGTTATCGACATAGAGGTTTTGATTTTTCTCGTTTCCTTCTCTTAAAACCTTGAAATTGAATTGTTTGTGTTTGGTTAACGAATTTGATTTTGATTTGTAGATGTCTATGCATAAGAAGGAAAGGAATAGAGGTTTGGTTTTCATTGAAATGGCTTCTCCTGATGAAGCTGCAACAGCTCTTAAATCTCTCGAATCCTATGTAAGTACATCGCAATCATCGGCTTTTACATCTCTAAGTATGGATAGAATCATTGTGATTTGTCTCATTTTATCTGACTTTATGATTAGTAGAAGTTGTACATTGTGCTTATTAGGCTCTTTCATGTTGCAGTTATCCCAATTTGATTGATTTTCGTATGTAAGAACATCGCAATTCGCTTCCTCCATCTCTAAATTGGCACAGAATCATTGAGATATATCTGTCATTTTGTTGAGTTTGTCTCATCTTATCTTACTTTGCATTAGCAGAAGTTGTACATTGTGTTTAGACTCTCTCAGGTTGCCGTATCCGATGAAAACGATAGATTTGCTGAACAAAGCTTGACAGAGCAAAATTTTCACATACTTCATGTGATTGATTTTGTTGTTATTTGGTCCCTGCTCTCATTTGGTTGTGTTGTCTTAATTTATCTCACTTTACATTAGAAGAAGTTGTAGTGCTATTAGGCTCTTTTATGTTGCAGTATCCCAAGATAGATTTTGTTGTCTACAATTAGTACATACTCCATCTGATTGTTTGTGTTGTTTGTTGGTCCCTTCTTTTTCTTGGATCTTCATTTGCCATTTGAATTGTATGTTGTTTAGGATTATGAGGGTCGTCGTTTGAAGGTAGACTATGCAAAGACCAAAAAGAAGAAGACATATGCGCCACGTGAGAAGCCTTCACCAGTGCCTACATTCAATTTATTCGTTGCAAACTTGGCATTTGAAGCAAGAGCCAAGCATCTTAAGGAGTTTTTTGATGCAGACACTGGTAATGTTGTGTCCACTGAAGTTATATTTCAGGAAAATCCAAGGAGGTCGAGTGGCTACGGGTTTGTCTCTTTCAAAACCAAGAAACAGGCCGAGGCAGCGCTTATTGAGTTCCAAGGAAAGGTAAATCCAAGCTATACTAAATGATAATGATCTAATCATATTTTAAAAGCATTCTAGGCTTATCAGTTAGGTCAATCTTGAGCAAAGTTGAAGCTCATTATTACTGGCTGATATAGTTGTTGAATGGAACCCAAAGGACAAGAGAGTGTTTGTGTTTTGGTTTATTGTAGGGCCCGTAAACCGAATGAGACAAATATGTAAATGGGTTTCTCTGAGTAGATACTAAATACTTTTAGTATATGGACCATAATCCCAGAATTGTAGAACAGAAGAGTTAATGATATGTTTCTAGTACCAGCTTTAGAATATGAGCTGATTTAAGTTGGTGGAATTGACTGTGTGTGAAATTTACATACGCAGGATTTCATGGGAAGACCAATCCGATTAGCTAAAAGCAAACAGTTTGTGAAGTTGCAAGCAAAAGAAGGGTTGCAGCCACCGGAGGAGGAAGAGGAACCATCTCCTTCCGAGGCAATGACCCAAGAGGTCGAAACTCCTGCTGCATAAAACTGAGAAGGTAGTAAATGCTGAATTGGTTTCATTATCTGGCTCTCTTGTATCATTACACCTCTAAACTCTGAATTGATCGAATCAGTATATATATATACTTAGTCTGTGTTGCAGGATTATTACTGTGGATGTATTGGAATTGAAGAAAAAGCTTATGGAGCTTCCAGGTCTGTTTGTTTCTTCTTAGTTTTTGACCAACAAGAGGAGTGGATACATGCAAGTACCAACCTTGAGTAAATGGTGGAGAAGTAAGTAAGAAGTACTAGACCGATTTTGTTGGAACTGAGAACTAGTAGAGACCGGTATACCAAACGTCAGTATCAGACCAGATCAAATCTCAAGAAACAAACCCATGTGGCTCTAAGAAACTTACTTTGTTAAGTTTAAACACAATGCTTCTTTGCTTGTCATCTAGTTTCGATTGCTTGTTTTTGCGTTTGTTTTATGTTTAGTGTGTAATCTTTTTATATATGAACCCTTAATCTTGAGTATCTTTAAAAAGTTATATTAGTAATTTGTAAACACAAATGCTGCTAACTTAGTATAAAAATAACTTAAGAAGCTAGGTTTCTATTTTATTTTCAAGTTACACTAAAGGTTTTGGTACTCCGTTTTTTTTATATGTTAATTTAAGATTTTTATACACCTATTAAGAAATCATTTATTTTTTTGTTTATTTCTAAACTAAAACGTCATATATTATCTACCTAAACACGATTTAATCAATAGTAACACCATCTTTAATCAATAATAAAACAATCTGTAGAATATATTTCGTCAAAATCAATAAAAACTAATTAATTTTGTACTATAAGTTGAAAACATCATCTAATTTAAAACAAATTTTTCCACTTAAAACATCAAATAAATAAATAAATAAACAGAGAGAGTATTAGTTTGAATTTTGATTTAAGACATTGTATAAACTATGGACGGGGAAGAACCACTTGTTTCATTGTAACACCTACAAGTCCCTAGACCGCTTCTTATAGTAGATTGGCCCTCAAACCTGAAGGAACCGCCTTTCTTCTTTGCGCGAGACTCACCCTCTTCCCGCGGCAGCGACACTTAAAAAATATGGTTCACTCATATATCACCTAGAGCATTATGTACTAAAGTACTAGTTCAAAAAAGCTTCTTGTACTTTTTCTTTCATTCTTTTTAAGTTATGTTGTATGTTTTAAAATTTGTTTTAAGAAAAAAAAGACATTGGTATATGAAAAAGGACAAATTCTTGTCACTTTTCATTTAGGTTTAAGTTGGAATAGTGGGGAGGGATTGAATCATCAAATGCGAATCAGATTTCACAGCTAATGAATGCAAATGCTCTCCAGCCTTTTCCTTTAAAAAGAAACAATTTCATCAACTTTGTTTTTTACCTTTTTCTCTTTTTTCCTCCTTTTGTGCAAAAACCTAAAAAGAATAGAGTTCTTTTCGATTTATGTTAAAACAAAAAAACGATGGTATCTTCGTCTAACTTTTATAGCAAACGCATTTAATTCAACTTTTTCACAATTTTAAGTAACTTATAATATGAGTATAATATTTTGTCACGCCACCTTTAACCTAAAATGGTTACTATAATACGTAGAAGCCCACATGGCTGAGCCAATGAAAGAATCCTGAAAATGCTTTATAAGTAGTCTTACAGCTGTCTCCACGTGACAAAACCTACTCTTACCTTCCTGACCAAACCCAAAAGACTTTTTAATCCAATTTTTAATTCTAACCGCAATTATTCTCGTTAATATTAGAGACTTTTCAAATCTTGTAATTTCAAAAGTTATCCAATATAAGTAACGCAATAAAAGTGTAAAAAAAAAAAAAAAAAAGAAGAATCAGACAAGAGACCAAACAGCTGTTCTTTTGCCACTACCAATAAACGACAAATTCACCGTTCTTGGATATGTCGATACGTGTCTCTACACACGCACACGTTCCTGACCTCATCAGTCATCACTAATCATCTTTTTTTCTAAAAAAGTGTTTAATATCACTAATCACTAATCACTAATCACTACATCACTTTAAGTTTTAACTCCACCAATTTCAAATTGTATAACTAATTCAAATCCAGACGCAATAACTAAACCAAGATTATGAATTTGTTTTTATAAGAACCAAAGATAAAATGTGTTGAGACTTAAGACCATAATACTAAAACATTAGTGGTAATAATAAAACACGAAGTGTTTAACTAGAGTGATAATAAAACACAAATGATAATTCTAAAACACAAATCGAGTATATCTATCGTCCAACGCTAACTCAATTCTTAATACATAAATCAAAAATTAAAATAACACGGAACAAAATAATCCTTAATAGAAAAAAAACTATCTCAATAGATTCTAAAATAACCAAATTACATCAACAAAGAAGCGACGAATGCAAAACCGGCTAAAGATCCAGCGGCGAGAGTGGCGGCGACGTTGTTATCGACGGGAGTGGATCCGGTCGGGCCAGCGGCGGGAGATCCATCGGGAGTGAGAGATGTTGGAGGAGCGGGAGGTGAAGCGGAGGAGGGAAGTGGTGAACCAGCCGGAGGAGAAACCGGAGCTGCCGTGGGAGTAGCGGATGGTGTGGGAGTTGGTGTGATTGAAGGAGTAGGTGCGGCGGTTCTTGGAGCTTGAGCAGGAGATGGAAGAGGAGATCTTGTTGGAGCTGGTCCTGGAGCTTGAGCTATGGCTGAAGAAGCTATGAGAGCGAGGAAGAGCAAAACGACGACGGATTTTGAAGCCATAGTTTTCGTAGTTTGAGAAAAGTGTTAGAGATAGGGAGAGAAGTTAAGGATCTGTTTCGAGCAGAGAGGAGGAGACGAAGAGGGTTTATATAAGAGAAGAGAATTGATGTTTCTTCGAAATTACACGAAGACGTGTAAATATTTATTGTCAATTTGTAAGTAAGTCCCTAGAGTTTTCTTTTTATTATGATTTGGGGCCGATTTGTTTTGGACTTTTCTGTACAAAATTAGTTTCATATTCAAACATGTGTTCGAATATTTGGAATTTTGGATAATGAGCTGATATATGTACGTTAGAGCAAAAGAGAGAAGAATTATACACTATGGCTCCAATTGGTTACACACATAATGGTAAAATGATGTTTTGTACTTCGATCATACAAGAATTTTACATAATGTTTACAAAAACGCAAAAATTCAAGATTTATGTTTTCGTTTTTAAAAATACAAGTAAAAATTTAGAGAAATTGTTAAAAATGCCCCTTTTTCAATACCCCTTTTCAAAAATACCCCCTTTGAGAGTCCATTTTTAAGTTTGCCCTCTTTTAATTTTTAATAACTATTTTACCCTTATTTGAAACAAAATTAGGTCCACAAAATACAAAATATTTTTTGGCGGGAAAAGTGATCCCCCAATTTTCCCGCCAAAACACTTGTAAAAACCTTTTAAAAACCTTGTAAAATTTTCCCGTAAAAATTTTTCCCGCCAAAAAATTTTCCCGCCAAAAAATTTTTTTTGCGGGAAAAGTGATTCCGCAATTTTTTTTGCGAAATTTTTTTGGCGGGAAAATTTTTGGCGGGAAAAATTTACAAGGTATTTTAAAGGTTTTTTACAAGGTATTTACAAGTGTTTTGTAAGGTTTTACAATGTATTTTAAAAGGT